CCTTTTGTCTGGACATTATATGTTGTGCGTCCTGGGTATCCTAGACCCCGGGACCGTAACACTGCCCACAACCTCAAACAGTCACACTCCAAACTCCACTATGGTGAAGACGAAAGAGCTGTCGGAGGACACCAGAAACCGAATTGTAGACCTGCACCAGGCTGGGAAGACTGAATCTGCAATAGGCAAGCAGCTTGGTGTGAAGAAATCTACTGTGGGAGCGATAATCAGAAAATGGAAGACATACAAGACCACTACTAATCTCCCTCGATCTGGGGCTCCACGCAAGATCTCAGCCCGTGGGGTCAAAATGATCACAAGAACGGTGAGGAAAAATCCCAGAACCGCAGCAGGGGACCTATAGTGAATGACCTGCAGAAGGCTGGGACTAACATAACAAACACACAGTAACACACTACGCTGCCCCCTGCTTAAGCTAGAACATATCCAGGCCCGTCTGATGTTTGCTAGAGTTTGCATCTTCTGGATGTTCCAGAAGAGTACTGGGAAAAAGTCATATGGTTAGATGAAACCAAAGTAGAACTGCTTGGTAGAAACAACTCATCGTGTTTGGAGGAGAGTGAATGCTGAGTTTCATCCAAAGAACACCATACATACTGTGAAGCATGGGGGTGGCAACGTCTTGTTTTTGGGGCTGTTTCTCTGCAAAGGGACCAGGACGACTGGTCCGTGTACATGAAAGAATGAATGGGGCCATGTATCGTGAGATTCTGAGTGCAAACCTTCCATCAGCAACCATTGCTGGTTCTTTCAGCATGACAATGATCCCAAGCACACCGCCAAGACAAAGGAGGAGTGGCTTCATAAGAAGCATTTCAAGGTCCTGGAGTGGTCATACCAGTCTCCCGATCTCAACCCCATCGAAAACCTTTGGAGGGAGTTGAAAGTCCGTGTTGCCCGCCGACAGCCCCAAAACATCACTGCTCTAGAGCCAAACATACCAGCAACAGTGTGTGCCAACCTTGTGAAGACTTACAGAAAACCTTTGACTTTTGTCATTGCCAACAATGACCAAATACTTATTTTCCACCATTATTTGCTAATAAATTCTTTTTAAAAAATCAGATAATGTAATTTTCTAGATATGTTTTCTCATTTTGTGTCTCATAGTTGAGGTCGAGCTATGATGTCAGTTACAGGCTTCTCTCATCTTTTTGAGAAAACTTGAACAATTGGAGTCTGTCTAAACATTTTTCCCCACTGTATAGACACACCTTGGTATTCACCCCCACATTTACAAAAAAACGATCTTCTGGAGTAAATTTTACAAATAAAGATGGGCAGAGCTGTTCCAGTTTTAAATGTTTATTATCACTGTGTTTTCTCAGGGTTTCTGCAGAGTCACACAAAAGTCACGAAAATATTAAATGTAAACATTTTAAACCCTTAAAGGTCTTAAATTAAGTTTTTCATTTTAGGTATGCAGTACGTGTTTTTTCATTGCTTCTCTCATCAACTCTTTTGTTTTAAATGCACTATTGGCATTTGTTTATCTGTGTTGTGTGAGAATATCAGAAGCTATTAAACTGTAACAAAATAAAATTCTCATCAAACAGCAACTCTGTCAGAGGGAATATGATGGACATTCAGCTTTCCCTGTGAATTAATTTGTTGCTCTGCTCCTGCAACTCGTTTGCTTTAGCTTATTTTTTTTATTATTTGGTCTAAATTTGAACTTGAATAAAAGGCAATAAAATATGTTAAACTGAAAGAAATTAATAAAATATATTAATAATTTGTTTTGTCATTTATTTAGGCAGGGGCAGACAAAGCTTTTTAAAAATGGGGAGTTTCTGTGTTAGAAAAGTAATCACAGCCTAATTAGTGCCTGAGTGCAGTGAAGCAGCCTATTGTTTTTTACCTGATTTTATTTTTCTCCCAGCAGGAGGC